TGTTGTTTAATATTACAAATAAGATACTAAACAGTTTATACCTTTATACAGAATGCATGTTCAAATAACCTATATCATGAAAAGTTATTTAGAAAAATAAATCCTTACAATGTTCCTATTAACCAAACCATTGCCTTACATAATCCCCCTCTAACATATTCAATTTTTTTCACTGTTAGAAAGGAAATTCTGCAAAGTTTCAAAGTTTATTATGCATTTCAAGTTCTAAAATGTAGAGTTAAATGCAAATGCTTTCTCCTGAACAGTAATTCAACAGATGAATATGATTTTAAACTTGGGCTGCAATCTGACTTAAGATACTGCACTTCATTTGAGAATTGTGAGTTCTTGAGTATTTTTAGAGTTTGTTCCTAAACATGGGTGCACATACTGCTCATATACTGCAAGAATAGGTAATCCAAAAAGAAAAATCAAATTTGCTTTTTCAAAAGGGCAAACTACATTATTTATTTATTCATCCCGTTTATATAGCTATATACATTTTAGCAACTCTACATTATCACAGTTCTGATGCTTAGTAAAAATCAATGCCCTTTATTGTATCTATGTTTTATTCTAAGTTATGACCAATTTTAATCATACATTATTTTTTAAGTCAGCAAAATTCCTAGGAACAGATACCAGTATGTTCTTGTCTTTTAAGTGTTTCTCAGAAGATTCAAGTATACCAATTGGTTCACTGAATAAGAACCTTCAAATAGAATTAACTCACATAATCATTCAAGACTACAGAATGATTGTGGAAAACAAAGCTACACAGAAAGCTATGACAAATATGTCATTACAGCTTTTTTATAGGATTACAATTGACACAGAGGAGGAGGCCAAGGCTATCAGATCTCTTTCTGGAAACCAAACAACATCTGTGCTAAATGTGGCACGTAAAATCAATATTTAGTTTGCAAATTTTAGATAAATTTCCACAATTTGAGTATGAGTCAACTATGGAAGTGAAAGGTATATTATACACATATTAAACGACTTAGTTAAAATATACCCTGCAGCAGTTCTACCACAAATTAAAACAAAGACCACCATGTCTAATACAGTTTATTCCATAGAAATAGAAATTGTATTATCTAACCAGCTGATAGTCAGCAATAGATTACAGCTATACAGCTTAATAGAAGCACTGTACTAAAGAAAAGGATCCTAATTATATCCCACAGTCTCAATTTAAAAATATTTAAATATCTTGCAGCATGACTTCCAAATTTATATATATATATAATGAACACAAAGAACTGTAATCAGAAAAGAAAACTAAAGAAGTCTAGAATGTATACAAAAGAGTCTGATTCATATTTTTGGCCTTTCTGCAGCCTAAATTCATAATATATAGACCATAGCTAGCATCAGTTTACAATTCCATTCTGGAATCATGTGAATGTGTGAACAGGAAGCAAGGCTACAGTCTATACTAAATGAATGATCAGATCATTTTTATTTATTAAATTTGGAGCCCATGCATCTCCTCACAGAATAACTCTAATCAGTCTAATTGGACTAGTAAATATATTCAAAATTTAGAACAAAGACTGGAACTCTCTGAAGTCAATAACTTGGTATAAAGATATTTACGTAGTTGAGAAACCAGTAAGCACCCAGAAAAGTAAAGGAAGTAAACATATCTTCCATAGAGAATGCAGTATAGTACTCTTATAAGGGAAGCTAGCTATATTATACAAATAATGAAACAGAAACTGAAAAACATAGAAATCAAACCATTAACCAAATGGTATCATTTCTAGGACTCAGGAATTATATTTAGCTAGCTAATTCATTTATTATCAAAATTATATAGCCATTCATCTCACAAATGTTTGACACTATGAAACAAATATTTTTTTAAAAAAAAACATTGTATTTTCTGCTTTCTCTTTCATTTTTATTACATATAAATTAAAATAGTAGCAAAATCTCACAAAAGGCTACTTTACAGATAATTCCACTTAGATCCCTGGAGCACAACTATATGATTTATAATTACTTTCAGGGTAAGATTTGCCCTAGAAGTCATAAATTTCAATTAAAAAATGAATCTCAAGTTTGAATAAAGTTTTTAAGTAAGAAGAAAGCAGTGATCCTGAACTGATTAGGTAGCAGTGATCCTGATCTGATTAGGTAGCTAATCAGAGATCAATATAGAAAATTAATCTATTAATCAACACAGACAGAAGATGCAGTGTGGTCTCCTAGGACTTTAGTACTTTTAACACTTAGCACAATTACTTTCTTAAAACCAAAGATTCAGGCTCCACTTTTAAGACAGATATTGTTTGGCGTCCATCAATTTTCCTGCACAAAACTGGAATTGATCAGCAAACTTCATTTTTGTTCTGTTTTAAGAGTTCCCCACTGCCAAATGAGCTCATGTACCAATTGTTGACTGTTTTGTCTTTGTCAAAAGCAATTTATTGCTTCCCTGGCAGCTTGCTGTGTGAGGAGAACAAGAAAAAAGAATAGTCAGCAAAAGGACACCAAAAAGAGAGCATATCATCGCATATTGCCTTTGGCTCTGCTGCTACCCACTGCTTGCTTCAATCAGTCCACTATTAGCATACAATGCAACCTCCAGTTGATTGCTTCTGCAGGAATGCAGTCCTCAGAGAAAAAAGGATGCCCATTCCTGGTATGATCATAGCTTGAATAGCTCACTAAAACTCTAATGCAAAGTATTCCACATTCTATGGATGAAAGTCATTCCAAAATGCCATATAGTCCCCTGGGATTCTACAAGCAAGCCCACTTCTGGGAACTATAGCCTGTTTCATTTTGGTTGCACATCAGATATCCAAAGCAAAAGCACAAACTTCTTAAACACTCTCAGAATACAGCTTGATGATAATCTCCATATGTATTTAATGGGTTTTAAGTTCTGGATTTTTTTTTAAAGGGGGGTTTGTGCATTAATACAATCAGAGTTGGAAAAATATCTGGTGCCAGAATGTTTGTTTAGAATAGAAAAAAGTTTTAAGTTATTATATATGTGTGTGTGTGTGTGTGTGTGTGTGTATAAACTGAAAGTTCATTAAAATGGTACAATTGTCCACTTGCGATTATAAATATATAATTTAGATTAATAGTTTGTAATCAGATTGCCTTTTTAAGAAGCTATCCATTATTAAGATAATTATTTTATTTACCAGTACTGTGATTATACTTTTACATGCAGTAGTTCATCATGATATGCAAAATGGCATAACTGTACAGAGGCTTTAAAACCAACAAACCACATTTATAAAACCAAAGCTCTTCTATTAGGAAAATGAAATGTTTCTGCCGTTCACTTCTCTTTAAAAAGTCATTCAAGACCTCATGACCAATGCAGCGTTAAATTAGCTTGCTCCAATCCCCCATCCCCGTTAAATAAAGATGTAACTTGTCTTGCTTTCAACAGTAGTGCAGAAAGGCCGAGAGGGCTTCACAAAACCCTCCTGTGTTAAGGAACGGAAACGCCTAATGAGATTAGTTGGTGTGTGCAGACATTACTTAGCCATGACTAAATGGGCTCCCTTCCTGCAACCAGTGGAAAATTCAGGGAACTTTTTCCTCCTGCAGCATCGCGGTCCCTTCTTAACCTTCAGCAAAGCCAGATCCAAAAACAACCCTCCCGCGATTCCCCCCTTCCCGCTTGTGAAACCGACGGTGTGTACAACTTTAAAATGGACGATGGGGCTGCTTAGTGGAAGAAGCGGCTGAACGGGAAGGAGCCTGGCTCGCTCCCTTTTTCTCTAGACCACAAAGACAACCGTAAAAGAGCGAATACATAAACCTGAGAAGGAGAAAACCACAGAGTTTCTTTGTGAGCTGCAGTGACTCATTTTCAAGATGTTGTCTGCTGCCAGTTTCAAACCGGAAGCGCATGGCAATTAGTCTTGCTGTTTCCAGACGAGCCAGAAACTCTCCCAACACTTCCCCCTCCTCCTCCTCCTCCTCCCCCCAAGCCCCTTGGACGGTCTTATTCCTCTCTTTGCAGCCCGAAACAATTTTAAGCAACTCCCCTAATTTCAAGGAAGTCCAGACCGGTGTACTGCCCCCTCCCCTCCCCTCCTCCCACCCACCAATCCAAATTCATTGCCTCAAAAACTAGACACCCCCCCCCACACACGGGCTCCTACAAGCGAGCTATTATCGCCACGAGCCTCTTGTAGGTCCAGAACGCACGCAAAAGCGCTCCCTCCCACGCACGCCGGAGTCGGCTCGTGACAACCGTCGGGTGCTCCTTCGGAGTAAAGGCGGCTCCTCTACGAAACTGTCAGACGAGCTCTTTCCCTCCCCCTTTCCACAAGCGCTGACCCCCCAAAGCTCCTTTCTCCACTCAGAACAACAGGGCCCTCCGCGGCCGCCACACTCCCGGAGAAGCGCTCGCACCGAAAGCCAGGCAACAGTGCGCGGGACTCCGACCCCAGACCCGCTAGCCACCTTATGCAAACATCTCCGCCCCCCCCGTCTCCAAATAAAAGTCCTTCTGCGCCTTCCCTGTTGGCCAACGGCAGGTGGAGGCTCCTCGCAGCTCCCTCACCTCATCCCCCCCGATCGTCTCCAGAGCCCCTTTCTGCCCTGCCGGGGGAGGGGTCCTCAAGTCGTCCTCTCTCCGGCAACCGAGGACTAGCGTTTCGGAGCTTTTCCTCCCCCTCCCCGCATGCACACATTCGCTGCCAGGTGGCACTTCGCCAGCAGCAAGAAAAGTCACCCCAAAACTTTCGCGCGCCCCCCCCACTGGCCCCAAACACGCGCACCCTCGGCTCCCTCCCCTCCCCTGGCCGTCCCAACCGGATGCCTTGCGGCGAGGCAGGGATCCCCCCCTGGCACGACCCTTCTGGTGCTTCATCGGGAAAAGCAAAGCGCTCGTGCAAGTTATTTTGAAACCAATAACTGCCCAGAAGCTTTGCATTTGCCTTCGGCTCCCACCTGTCTCCCCCCCGCCACCCTTTTCCTCGCCTCCAAACTCTCTTCCAACTTTAAGAGTTACGTACCCAGCGCCAGGTCTGGTGGGCTTCTCTCCAGCCTCTTCTCGCCGTTTTTAAAGGGAGCTGCGTAGAATCCCCCGGTTTTCCATGCTGACAGTCCTCTAAAACGCTCTGTTGCTCTTGTAATGAGACCCTGATTTTCCCCCTTGTTTCTTTCTCCCTTCCACCCCCCCCTCCTCGCTAGTGTGTGTGTGTGTGTGTATGTGTGTGCGAGAGAGCGAGAGCAGGAAGTTAGGGCAGTCAGACAGAGAGCCGGCTCACTTCCTTTCCTGCATTATTCCCCAGGCGGTTTGCTTTCTGTGTAAACAGGCTTTTCCTCTCTTCTCCCCTCTCTGGCCACTGATGTGCAGGCAGCATTGCTGTAATATAAGACACACGCAGAGTAAAGCGGTAACGGGACTCAGCCTCACACACAAACCAAGGAACTCCAGCCGTTCCCTCTGACCTCCACCTCTTCCTGTTCTGCACCCCCGGGGAGGAGCTTCAACCCAGACCTACAATTTTGCTCATCAGCCTTAGCTACTCGAAACACAAGATAGCTTTAAAACAAAAACAAAATAAACACCAACTACACCCAGCTCGAAGTGATTCAACTATTTTTGTGGCCTTAAGAGAAGGAAATTGCAAACACCTTTCATACACACTACTAAAAGTTGTTTGACTTGATTGAATAATATACTCAAACCATGGAAGTCCATAGAATGCATTTATTATATTGCATGTATATGCTGCAGGTATCAATATTCCTACCCAGGCAGCTAAATGGTTAGAGAGACAATAGATTCTGTTTTTCAGATTTTGTCCATCGTGCTCACTGTTCTAAGAATTTTACTGATAGATTTAGAGGCACTTGGTTAAAATACTTCTAAAATACAATTTTACAAAAATCCAAAGGCAACATTTCATTTGCAATAATCACTATCACAAGTATTCCACTATACCACTGTGTAAGTAACAGTCTAACATACAAGCTTTGCTGGGATTTAAACAGCTTATTTATGTATAGAATTGCACGGTCATTTCTTAATTTAAATGATTTGTACTGCACAATTTACCCAGAAAAGTTTTTAAAGAGGCTTATAGATCAATAAATAAAATATAGTCTCTGCTCTCAGACTTGCAACTGAAAAATGTTCATAGGAAAAGGAAACAATGATAGGGAAAGATAAAATGTTTCATTCAGTGCTAATAGTCAGTATATAGCAGACATGTCAAACACAAGGCCCCCCGGGCCAGATCCAGACCATCATGTGGTTCCGTCTGGCCCAGGGACCTGCTCTGGAAACAGCGAAGGACCAGCCTGTGGCACCTCGGCCCAGGTCAAATGGGCACTGACCTACAACCTGGTGCCAGCCATCAAAACCAGAACGTGCTCAGCCTTAGATCCACGGGGCAGCCCTGGAACCAGTGACGGGTGCCCCCACCCAGCCCCCTGGGCGCACACGCAGGTGGAGTCCAGGGTCCCTGCTGGCTGTCTTGCCCTGCAGGGGCGGCTCCTCGCTGGTTCCAGGGCTGCCCCATGGATCTAAGGCTGAGTACATTCTGGCTTTGATGGATGCAACCAGGTTGTAGATCAGCACCTCCCCCTCCCATCAGCACCTCCATGGCCCCCTCGCTGTCCTAACCTCGCAGCCACGAGGCTTCCCTTTCACCAGGACCAGCCCTGCCGACCCTTGTGGGATACCAACGGCCAGCAGCAGCAGCATGGAGACTGGCAGCGCTGGTAATCCCATCACCTCTTCCTGAACACGGAGGAAGGAAAGAGATGAGAAGGAGAAGGAAGGAAGGAAGGAATGGAGGAAGGAAGGAAAGAAAGGAGGGAGGAAGAAAGGAACAGGGGGAGGGAGGGAGGGAGGGAGGGAGGGAGGAAGGAAGGAAGGAAGGAAGGAAGGAAGGAAGGAAGGAAGGAAGGAAGGAAGGAAAAGCAAGGCAAGGCAACTTGGTTGGAGATGCCCCAGTTCATGCAGTTCTGCTTCAATCCTGGATCCATTGAGACTTGGGCTCAAAGGAGACAGGACTTTATTGGCAATCCAAGTTAACATTAGTATTCTTGAATTGTGAGCTCTTAGAAAAGTATCCCCTCCTTGTGTGTTGCAAACAGCCATTTCCAGTGGGGAAAACAGGACAAAGCAGAGTGGGGGAAAATATTTTCTTTTGCTATATTTCCACTCTCAATTAGACCATGGCGGGGTCCCTTCAGAAGAGCACTTTTAAGGATTATGTATTAATAGAAAAGCAACTAACTTACCTCTGTTCCTAAAAGCTAAAGCTATTGCACTTAAAAAACAGAGGAGCTCTGATAAACTATCACAACCACCATTTTGACAGTTTTGCTGTACTGTTGTCTGTGGACGCCCCCCACTAAAAGCAAGCATGGGATAAGCTGAGCCTGGTTTGTTCTTAATCTTTTAAGTGGTCACAGACTACTAGCAAAAGTGGCATTTGATCACAAGGCAACGAGGCATCGAGAAATGTTTCCCCTTTTGCATTTGAGCATCCAAGAAGGGACAGGAAAGGAGAAAGAGAAAGAGGAAAGACAAACAAAAAGAAGGAAAGAGGGGAAGGAAGAAGAAGAAGAAGGAAAAGGGAAGGAAAAAGAAGAAAAGGGGGAAGGAAGGAAGGAAGATTATAATGAGAGGGAGGGTGGGTCTCAGGGAAGTCCTGCCTTAGCACTTGACCACGAGCAGCCCCTGCTGCCCTTTCACCATCCCCTTGTCTCCTCCTCCTGATCTCTCCTGGTGGTCTCCCATCATATCGTTGAGGATGCTTTGGTTACAAAGCCAGGTCTCCTCGCAGGGAGAGGGAGAGGGCCACACACTTTGCCCTCCCGCACACACCATGAGCAACTTGGCCAAGGAGATTGAGCCAATCAGTAGCAGCCTTGAGGAGGAGGTAAGCGCAGCTGGGTGCCCCCATTGGGAAAGGCTGGACTGGGTGCTTGCCTCCACTCCCCAGGGCTCCAGGCAGCCTACATCACTGGGGGTCCTCTGCATGGCCTGAGAGGGACAACAAGGCTCCTCCAGTGGACAAGGGTATGGTGCTCGCCCTGGTCTCGCCTTCCTTGGCTAAAGACAATCCCCCCAGACCCCCTGACCACATGTGCCCCCGACACGAGCAATGTTGAGGTGGCCACGCCAACCCCAGCCATGCCCACCCCAGGCCCCCAAGGTCAACCACAACACTGACGTGGCCCTCAATGAAATTAAGTTTGACATCCCTGGTATACAGTAATCAAATGAGCAGAAAACTACTAGCTGGAAACATTGATGGCAAAGCTACCAAAGAGAATATACTGCATACATAAGTGGACAATTGCCAAGATAGTTGAACATCACCTCAAAAATGAAGGGTATGCTAAAAAAAATTAAAAAGAAAAGTTAAGAGGGCCAAAATATTTTGAGGAATGTGACTTGCACTATAATTGAAGTTCAGCTTGAATCCACACTGCAGGGTAGGCGAGATCTCATGAAGTCCAAGAAGATGCCAGCATGAATTTCTTTCGTTAAAAAATGGAAATATTGTACAAATTAGTAGAAGGGGAACAAATCAATCCTGGGCAAAGTAGAATGTAGAGAATATTCCATAAGAATTAAAAATATTTAGTCCAACAATATTTTTAAAAGAAATAGAAGCCAAATAACAGCAGGGAAGATACTCAGACTACATACTAATAAGAGTGTTAAAGCAGTACTAAAAGTGAACTGAAGACTGCAGAAATGGTGAATTATTTATATGTATTATCTCTTAGAAGATGTACAGTATATATTTTCTCAGTCTGAAATAATGGAATAAATGGTAGAAACAAGATGTAAATTAAAGACCTTAATATCAAAAATAAGCAAATAAAGTCACCCAAGATTTTTTTTTAAAAAAAATCCATATGTGAAATGGGTATAGGTCTTTCAACATAACTGGAAAATAGCCAGTTTTAAATACTTGATTTAAAAAAAGTCAAAATTGGGAGTCAAAATTGGGAAACTACAAATTAGTTTAATAGTTTAATAATTTTGATAAATTGGTACAAAACATTAAAGATTACATAACTGGACAAAATTACACCCAGAGAATTGATAAGACAAATTAATAGTTTAGCTGTTAATAACTTGTGCCATTGATTTCTCCCTTATTATCAGATGACTATTGTACCTGACTGTTTCTTCATAATCTGCATTTGAATTTTCTGGTTGTGAAAATGAAGCAAAGTAAAGAAACCTGTATTTGTTTTAGTTCCATCTGGAAGTTACCCTTACTTCTCCTTTGTACAATATGGCAAGCCAATTTTACAGTACAACGGACAGCTCATTATCCACGCAAGGGTGCAGAAGGAACTAGGTAGCAAGTACAAAGTATTTGCAGCTAAGCTCTAACTTTGACTTGTTATGCCATCCAAAGGTAGCCATTAATACCAACTTTCAAACTATTTTTTCAAGTCCTTCAGTAAACAATCTAAGTAAACTCAGGAGTCATGGAATAAGACAGCAACTGTTGTTGTTTTCTCCTTGGATAAATATGTTTCCTCCAGGGAAATATGGCCAAAGCCACATACCAGCAATAGGTAGGATTAGAGCAAAAAATCAGAGGTAGAAATAAACATTAATACATGCATCCATTCATTCCACTTCCTCTGTGATACAGCACTAGTGATTTCTAGTTTAGAAAATGTAAGCAATGGGGAAATATAATAGTGGTTCACATAATTAAAAAGTGCATAAAATAGTGAGTGAAATATCATTTCTATTTCTTTTGTAATACTAGGAATCATCTAATGAAACTGAATGGCAGGAGTTTAAGGATAGATGAAATAATATATTTCTTTGCAAAATTCAGATTTAAACTATGGAATTATCACAACATTATCATCTTAAAGATTTGTGTTCTTATATTGCCCTAATCCAAGGTTTATTTAACTAGTGTTTACTGAGTAAGTCACTAACTGGATGAGCTCACTCATCATAGCAATGCTATTCCAATACCACAATATCTCAGTTCATTCATTCAATTGGTCTTCAATTATGGTTATTTCCAGTCAAGGGTTATAGGACTACACTCTTCTTTAAAGAATTAACAAATTATATATTGTCTGGAAACCAGTGGGGTGCACAGTAATGGGGGACCCTAGATCTGCACTTCTGTTGTGCAAGCTGTACTGGCTTCTAGTTATTG